TAAGTGATGTAATAATTAGTTGTAGCTAGTTATTCAATTTGGTTGTGTAATAATTAGTCTAATTAGCTTAATTAGATTAACTGCTTAGCTTAGCTTAGATTAGCTTAGTTCATTTTTCGGACCCTTCGTCGAGAGGGCAAATGTTGTAATAAGTATGCGTGCGTGTGACGCATGTCTTCCAACCCTATGTTTTTCTCCTTTTTATTTACCAGCTTTTGATGGTTAGTTTTAGGGCATGTTTCAATTAGCATATTTACGTTTGCATGCATGCATCATTCATTCGTCTTGCATGCACCGGGCTCGGCACATCATACAAACTGCATTGTATTTCAATACCAATTTGAATACACGTTATCTAGTTGCATTCACATGACATCTTAGAATAGCCGAGCCTATCTTAGTTGCATTTTTGCATGTGTTGCATTAGGCATTCTTAACATAGCTAGGATCATGCATTGATTACTAACTAGCTTCTATTTTGGCTTGAAGTACACTGTGAGTGTTTACGCTTTAGCATCTTTGCATGTGTGTAAGTGACTGCCATGATAACATTCTTGCCATGAGGCTATGTGCTTGTGTGTTTAAATGCATAAATTCTTGTGGATGAAGGTTTGATTGCCTGAATTGGAACAACTCGATGATTGTGAGTTTTAAGCCCACTTGAAGTGGCAAAATCATGTTTTTCTAAGCCCGCTTGAGGTGGCAAATTCGTGTCTTAGCCTACTCGCGAGTAGCAACTTCAAACCATTTTCAAAAAAAACAAACATGAGTTGTTTTGTTCCAATCCGCGTCATTGAGTCTATACTTGTTTGATGTGCGCATCACGTAGTAAAGGTTAGCTAATAAACCGGAATCAGAACACATGTGTTTTCAAAAACAGCATATCCAGTTAGTAGAGGCCGATCCTTTGATCGGGCGAGCGGGGGTGCTCATTTCATGACCTTCCCCCCTCGTACCCAAGTTCTCGAGCCGAAGCAACTTTGGTGATGACGGACACGTGGCCTTAGGCACGAGTCAGGATTTCCTAAATTTTCAAAAATAAAATATTTAGGTGGCGACTCTAAAATCTGGCAAAGCAGTCCATGTTTGGCACTTTTTGATTAAAATTGATTTTTCAAAATGATTTTCCAGATTTGGACTCTTTGGTGATTTATCAGTCTTACATTGCACTTTGTGAGATTAGATTCAAAACCGCGATAGGAGTCCAAACTGTTGTAGCTAAAACTACAATTCGCGCCTTCACGCGCGGAGTGAAGTTCGGGCGATCTACACATGGCTTTGGTAAGGGTCATGTATAGCTGGTTAAAAGACCTCTGGGGTCGGGTAAGGTTGCATGATGTTTGTGGTCCTGTATTGGCAAAGGGGTTAGCTGTTTTTGTCATGGTGACAACATTTACATCCGATGGCCTCGTAGCTGTGCTACCATTGGTAGCACTGGAACTGTGAACAAATGGCCCTTTCCCCGGCTCTTTCTCGTTAGTAATGAGCCCTTGTTTCATAGCATCCTCGATTTCAACCCCCATTTTGTGTAGCTCTATGAATGTAAATAATGGTAGAACAATTATCTTTTGCAGTGACTTGCCATGCAGATTCTGGACAACCATTCGTATCTAGTCTTTTTCTGAAGACCAAGTGGTCATCATGGACGCTTTAGCCCTCCATCTCATCACAAACTTAGAGAACCTTCTTTTGGCTCTTGGCGCGTCGCCTCGAGATCACGGGTTATGACCTCGATTTGAGTGTTATAAGAGTACTGTGTCATGAAGAACTCAGCTAATTCATCCCAAATCTGTTTTACTGAGTCTTCCAACCTGGCGTACCAAATGGCCGCTATACCTAACATAGTCCGACCGAAGAAGGATAACTTCTGCAACATAGTCTAACCAAAGATGATCAAAAACAGCCGTAAGTGAACCATTGGGTCCCCGGAACCATCAAAACGATCAATGTGAGGCATCTTGAACCGTTCTAGCAATGTAACCGTAGACTCGATGTATCCATCCTCTATATCTAGAATGGAGTTGACCCCTTGCGCTCTGTTAAACAGCTTCTCTAATTTATTGACTTTAAGTGCAGTTGGATCAAGCTCGAATTCAAATGGTGCCTCAGTCTAACAAACCAGGGCTTTGGATACTTGTGCTGGGATAGGTTCTCACTACAAGAATTTACACATTTTGCGACCACTTTTGCCGACCAAAAAAATTTTGGTCGCAAAAAAATGACATTTGGCGACCAAATATTAATTAGTCGCGATTGATCTTTATTTTTGGCGACTAAATATTATTGGTCGCTGAAGGTTATATTTTGGCGACCAAAAAATGAGTTGGTTGTAGAAAGTGGTATGCTTTTGCCGACCAACTACAAATTTGGTCGCAGAAGGTCACATATTTTTTGGCGACCAAAAATTTGGTCGGCAAAAAGTTATTTTCAGCAACCAAAAAAAATTTGTCGCCAAATTAGTACTTTTAGCGACTAATATTTTACTCGCCGTTGATGGAGATTTGGCGACGAAAAAAATTTGTCGGCGAATGTACCTTTTCTGCGACTAATGTGGTCTTTTGGTCGGCAAAAGTTTGGGAGGGAAATTTGATTTTTATAGAGGCGAGAATTGAATTTTTTTTGCGACAAAAAAATTTGGTCGCCATTTTTAAAACGACGTCGTTTTGTACCACGCATTCACCTTCCCATGCTCTCTCTCTCTCATTTCCTTCTGCTTGCATCGCTCTCCTACTACTGATTACCCCTTGATTTTAAGCATTTGGTGACGAAATTTGGTTTTCCTCTCTAAAAATAATACATTTGGAGACGAAATTATTTCCTCTCTAAAATTTTTTACAATGGTGACGACAAATTTTGTCTCCAAAATGGCGCCAAATTTTCCAAGGGCGGGAAATTGTTTTGTGACGAAAAATAAAATTTAGAGACGAATAAAATTTTTGCCACCTATTGTTTTATTTGATTTTAAGCATTTGGTGACGAAATTTGGTTTTCGTCTCTAAAAATAATACAATTGGAGGCGAAATCTTATTTTCATCACTAAAACATGCATATTTGGAGACGAAATATTTTTTCATCACGCATTTTCGTCACCATAGACCTTTTTTGTTGTAGTGCTGGCGGCGACGCTGTGGGAGATGAATGACGTTCCGTCGCCTAGGGTTGGGGACAATTTGGAAGAGAAGAAAGCGATCAAGAGAGAGATGAGAGTTAGAGAGAGAATGAGGGTGCCGAGATCGGTGCATTCGGGTTCTCTACCTCCGCATTTGTCTGATCGATGCATTCTTTTAAAATTTTAAAATTCTTATTTATTCACATATTGGGAAATATACGAACTACAGATAAATTTGCAATTTCTTTATGCCTCTGACCCAGTATAGTTGAGATCTCAAATGCAATGAAATGTCTGACTTGCTGAATTTTTGCTACATACTTGAACATTTCCTAGTTGGGGGTTGCTTGAGCACGTAGCATATTTTAATTTTATATTATACATTTTGCTAATGCTTGTTCTAGTTAAATGTGGAAAGTAAATTTCTGGCTTCCCATATTTCGTTTTGGGTTATGTGGTGAGCAGACCACAATGAAGTATTAAATTATTATTTGTTTCTATGTTTCTGTTATAGGTTGTGAAGAGCTTCTCATCTGGTAAAAGAGAAGGTGGAGATTCTGTAGCAGCTTGTTTACCATCTAAAGGGGAATGGATTTACTATGCTGGTGAAGATAGGTATGGCGTAAAGGGCATATTGTTCTTGATTATTATATGAACTTTTGCCCTGTTTTTTCATGCTTTCATTTAGTAAATCAACCCTTTTGCTCTTATTGTTATTAAATGCCTATATGGACAGGAGACAAACCATATTGTGATTTTTGTTTTTTTGGCACTATTGGCTGTTCTACTTCTGGGCGGTGTGCCTAACAACACCACAAGTTAATTACTTGTGAATAAACCTTTTGGATTCATTAAGTCTTCTTAAGATAATTTACTTGTTAATATCATACTAAAATATGAAAAAGGATTGGAGACAGCTAAGGAAATGTGCTAAACAATGAAACTTAGTCTCAAAATTCTAGCCTGCACTGACCCATTAAAATAAATACGAAGACGGCAATTTTAGCCAGCACATCTATGAGATTGTTTCTGTTGCCAGCATCAAGAGAATAATCTTTTATATTTATGAACAAAAACTCATCATAATCAGTATGATCATATTGATGCAGAAAGATTATAAAGATGAAGTATCATATTATCAGTTGAAAAGAGATGCCATAAATCAATCTCCCTTCTCCTGTGCCATGTCTACAGAACATGGTGAATTTTTGGAATTTTATTTTAGGAAATGAGATGCTACAAATCATTCTCTCCTTGACCATGCTATGTCTATGAAATGCAGTGAATACAGTAACTCATTCCTTTTGTTCTGTTGGTTCCCTGTCTTCTTGTTCATCTCTTTAATGTGGTGGCAATGGGTTTTGTTGTTTGGAAGCCTATTTCAATCTTCCAGTTCATCTTTATTGGATTTGATTATAAAATAAGCTTATTGCTTTGGAACAGCTGAGCTGTAAATACTAGCCTATTTCCATATCCTTGAATTGAATGCCTTGATGTCTTACTGAGAACCACATGCTTCTGTGATAACAATTTTATTGCTTAGAATTGCTACATTTATGGGATTCATTATTAACTCTTAACGATTTATAAATTTTGTGCAGAAATATGTACTACTTTGGCTACCAGTATGGTAAACTGGAGCATCTAATGAAGGTAATCTTTTATTTTTTCGGAGGCCAAGCAAGTGCCACAATCTCTACATTACAAGAATCGGCAATTATGTTTTGAAGTTTGATTCATTCTTAGTTTTATAAACAGGATGTGATATTAATTGTTAGTTATATTTATTTACTAATTTGGCTTGCATTATGCAGAAATCCAATATTTATTTACTAATCTTTTAACGGCGTTTTTTAAACGCCACATATTCTTTTAACCAAAACGCCGCATATTCTTTTTGTTGTTCATGGTTGGTTTCCAGATGAGTCCATTGTAAAATAGATTCTGATTCAGTGGGGCTCAAAACTTTGATTTTCGTAAAATGTATCCAGTTTTTTTCATAACATCTTATATATATATAGATATATATTGAATGCCATAGGAATTCTGATGTTCAAATTCCTTTAGAACATCAAAAGCAAGTATCAGCTTGAGAAAGCATTATATTTTGGTTAATATCACTATGACAGGAAAACCTATACCATTTCAGAATGATACTCTACTCTGGTTCATTGATTTGTTTACTCTATTACTTAGTTAATGCTTGTGATGTAGACAAAGACGGTAAGAATTGTACAATGCTTCTTTTGCAATGTAAAGAACTCTGCCACTATGATATGTCTTAGTATATTGGGTATATGTGCATACATGTGAATGCGCACAAAAGATACACACGCAGACACGAAAATGCAGGCTTTTGGTACTGAAACTTCATAGACACTTTTTATTGTTGGAATTGTGTTTTTGCATATTCAGGATCCAGAGGAAGCTCATGCGAGAAGGGGAGGTGAGCTTCCTTCGTCTGGTAATTTTTTGTTTTAGATCTTGTTAGTGTTTGAAATCGTTGCTTGTTCCATTGGTTAACCAGCTCCATGGACATTTGATCCTGAACTACTGCTAAAATGTCTCAAGACTTTGAAGAATCAGGTGAGTAGCTATTTATGTTGAAATTGTAGATTTAGTTCATAGACTTATGGAAATTCTTTTACGGCTCTCTTCTATAGTACTTTGGAATTTATTGCTTATAGGCAAGAATAGCATGTATGCTTTCTTTCCTCATATTGAGTTCTGATGGTTATTTCTCTTTCAGGGATCAGTTTACGCTCCTTCATTTGACCATGGTGTTGGAGATCCAATTGAAGATGATATTTTTGTGAACCTTCAGTAAGTATTTTTCTTCGTTTGGATATACAATTTTTTCTTCTTTTGGATATACAATCTTGTTCATATCTTTTGATTTTCTAGGAATGAAAATCCTCATCAATGTTATGGAAAGGAAGCCATTAATAATTTTTGTTTTTCCTCTACCCGTTCCTAAGTTCCAAAAAGATCTTAATAAATGTTTATAGGGCGGATCACTTGAACTGTGTAACAGTTTTCAAACTAAAGTTAATTGCTATAAATATATGATTTTGACGATGGTAGCTTCATATGTAATCTGCTTCATCTACAATTTCATAGTATATTTGATAATGGTGATAAAAAATGAGGAATACATTTCTAAAGAGTAATGGCCTAACAAAGATGTCTCCACTTCCTGTTCCCTTTCCTTTTTGGAAAACTTTCGTAATGCTCCAAGTGTATGTTTTGTTGAGATGGCTTGGACTCTGGCATTTATGTCAACATGGTGACTTGACTTAGATCTGTATGGAGTTGCACTTTATAAACAAATTATATTTTGTTTGACGGCATGTTCAACCCTTGTAAAATAAGCTTGTAGTAAATTACTATCTCGCTAAATGAGCTGGGAAAAATAATTTTTCCTCTTATTTTGTGGCAACATTAAATTCAGAATTTTGGGGACTTATTTGGGATAATGTCTTTTGGATGCTGATTTCTTTCAAAGGTTCATCGAGGTTGACATTGAGATAGCAATGCAACAAGTTTTAAAGAGACATGTATTGACCGGTCTGCATTTGTATATTGTTAATCAACCACTTGTTAACATGCATGATGAAAAGGATTGGTGTGTGTTGATTTTATTTCTGTGTATTGTAGGAAAACCTCCAGATGTTGCTAAGTGGCGGGTAAGCTTGATGTCATGGTGCTTATAACTTCCATTGATGGTTTATTGATTCTTGTCTATTACTGGTTCCACATTACTTAATGTACCCCTAAGTTTTTTGGTTTTTTGAAACTTATATGACCAAATTAATCATGCAGATAGAGTACAATGACCGGCCTAATGCAGAGCTAATTGACATGTCCAAGAAAAATGTGAATTAGTTAATCAAGTCGATTGATTTCTGTAGTTGAATCCTATCTATAATTAGAACAGAGAAAGAATTGACAAGTTCAGTTCAATCGTGTTCACCATTTGAAACAAAGTGATGAATGACAGTCTCATGGTGAAGTCATGAACAAGTTGAATATAAATGGTCATGAACAAGTTGAATAAAAATGCAGATACTGACTTGTTTAAGTTAAGGTGACTCGGAGAACAAGAGTAGGAAGCGACTGCACGGTTGGTGAATCTTGTTTCTTCTAAAGTTAATATTGAAAATATAGTAAATTTATGTATTTATTTTTGGTTATACAAATGGAAACAGTACGATTACTTTTGTCATTATATAGTTTTAATGTATATATTGTAAGTTATTGATCAAGAATTTGAAACCGGTTATATTTCTTTCTGATTGTAAAAGTGGCATTGATAGTGCAACTTCAAAATGGAATAGTATTATTGTTTATAAAATGTTGCATGACAATATGCCAGCCAGTTATGGTCCTTCAACATAAAAGGGATCACATATGTCCAAAAAAACAAACCATATATATATTAGCTGTTTGTGCAAAATCCAAAGAGGATGATGGGTTTATTCATTTAGAAAATGGATAACCCATTTGGATTTGGTGGGTCCAAGGCAAAAGTAGTGCTCATTTTCCCCTTAATGTGCATGATACATTCCTTTTGGGGTCATCTTTTTACTAATTAACTTGGATGTAGGTCAACATTAAAACTGACTCAAAGTTGTGAGGTTTTTGTTTTGTGTTCAAATTATAATTATTGGGACTAGAATAGAATCAGTGAAAAATATATATAAATAAATAAACTATATGGATGTATTTATTTATGCCTCAGTATAAATTGGTGGCTTTTGCAACCTAACAATTAAATTGTTTGACAGCATCAGGACGGTCGCATTCACTATGATTTGCGGTACTACATTTATATATATATATATATTGAAGGGGAAATTACATGGCGTAAATAATTATCAAAAAAGTAGTAATTTTTGTGGGGGTGTCATTTTTGCTTTGTTTGACAGCGTCAGCCTAACAATTTTTACTGTCTGGTATTTTTAAAAAATTTGTTTGTCAAATGCCTGAATATGTAGTTTTATTTGCACGCCGTTGTTCCTATCAGTTAATACCATCTTCTTTTCTTTTCATTTTTAAATTATGATTGTTCTTCAAGTAAGTTATCTTTTTGGACCAAATAAAATCTAATTTTTCATGATAAACCACACCACTATATATATATGAGTAATGCAATTCATCACTGTCAGTAGGAGTAAATACTGATAGTGTTTCACAATTGAAGAGTGCTGTATGGAAAGAACGGCTGGAAGGTTATTCTCTCTCCGTGTCCAATGTTTATACTTAGTTTTTCTGATTTCTCTTGAACATGTACCATGAGTTTTGGTGATCATGAAGGGAAGAATGAAAGACCGTCAAAGTTTATGACGCTGGGTTTACCACTATATGGAACGTCATTTGCGCCATTCCTCGAATTTATGTGCTATGTTATTGCCTATTGGGAAATTGGAAAGTAAGAAATATTTATTGTGCTGAAGGGCCCACTTCGGGTGAATTGCAAATTTTAGGTCATTTAAAGGGAATGGAGCCTTGATAGTTAACTACGCCTGAATAAGTTCATGTTAGGTCTTCAATAACTCATCATTTGTAAGATATGCTACCTAGAGAAGTAATTAGTGTCTGATATAACTGCTCAACCTCCAATTAGCAATCATTGAATTGTATTTGTGTTGGAGTAGGATTTGACAATGACACAGGTATTTAACTTTTTTGCTTATCTTACTGGCAGGGTTGTTATGGCTATTAGCTTATTAATCATCGTGTACTGAAATTTGCAGGTACAGCAACAGGTACAGTTTTATTATGCCGGCTAGTTGTCTCAATATGATGTACGTGTTTATAGGATTTAATTAATTTTTGCGAAGAGACGGGTTTGCAATCTAGTGTTACTGCCACTATCATGCTTCTCTGATAAATTTTCCAATTCTGTTTCTTTCTTAGGTGCCTTACATCACTACTGCTTTGATGGATGCAAAGCTTGGCACGGAAGGGCGCAAGGATCTTTTTGATTGGCTATCAAGGCAACTTAGTGGATTAAAACTTAGAATATGAATTATGTATTGTGTGGAATAGTTAATGAATTAAAACTTAGTGGATCTTTTTGATTGGCTATCAAGGCAACTTAATGTATTGTGTTGAATATGAATTGAAAACTTAGAATAGTTGTATTGTGTCGAATGTTAATGAATTATGTATTGTGTCGAATGTTAATGATTCAGTTAATTTGAATGATGCTTTAAAATTATAGGTTTATTATGGATTGATTGAATTATAACATCATTACAGGTGTATTGTTTTCCTGCTTTGGCGACCAATTTATTAGTCGCGACATCCAAAATAATTTTTTTTTGCAAAAAATGACAATTGCCGACCAAGAGTATTGGTCGCAAAAAATACATGTATTGCCGACCAAAACAGCTCTTGGTCGCGGAATCTCACTTTTGCCGACCAAAAGTTTTGGTCGCGAAAAGACACAAATGGCGACCAACTTTTTTGGTCGCGAAATGTGATAATTAGCGACCAAAAAATTTGGTCGCGAAATGTAATAATTGGCGACCAAACTTTTTGGTCGCGAAATGTGACAATTGGCGACTAAGAAATTTGGTCGGGAAAATATCACTTTTCACGACCAAAGTGTTTTGGCGACAAAATAAATTAGTCGCGGTAATTAAATATTTAGCGACCAAAAATTTAGTCGGCAAATCCAACTTTTGCCGACCAACCAAAATTTTGGTCGCGAATTACTTTTGCCGACCCTCAATTGGCGACCAAAGTAGCGACCAAAAAAATTGGTCGCGGATAACTTTTGCCGACCAAAAATAGACTTTTAGCGACCAATTTTTTTGTTGCCAAAAGTGTTAATTCTTGTAGTGTCTACTGGGATTGGAAAAACCAGAATACCCTAGGTTTGTAAACCCTGAGCAGCGACAGTATTAGCAATGACATCAAGCACAGGGATAGCTACGGCGGGTACATGGGACACAGAGGCTGAGGCTGGATACAGTTGCTATTACTGTAGCCTGGTTATAACCTCAGCTTGATGGGCCATAACCTCGACCTGACGGGTCGCATCACATTATAGTGTTTCAACCGTTTGCTACAAATGGAGGATTAGTTCTTCCATATTGGCCGGGGGATACTGTTTCATGGGAATAAGTGACTGGTCTTACGCTGGACTAGAAGTAGACGACTGTTCTTGAACCAAACTGAACATAGGTGAGCCGAGAGGTGACTATTGTAAGAACTGCACTGGCGACTTCTGTCTAATCCTACATCGCCTTGTAACCGGTGACAGTGAAGCAAACACGGACTGTCTCCTAACAAGATCTCCAACTTTACACAGTCTCCCGACTCGAGCCCAGAGTTTTTGGGGGATATCAAAACCTTCTGAAGCTATGATTTAAACTACCTAGCAAAAGAAATAAAGTAAAAGAGCAGCAATCAGAAACTGTACAACACCTCAGCTAAGATGTTATCGACATAAACATGATCAAAGTTGTAAGCCTGTACTCCCCATTGAATTATGTCCTAAAGTAGATACTAACCTTGCAACTAATATGCATATTCCTGTACAGTTTCACTGTAAAGCACATACCAGTTAAGAGAGAGCCAAAACACCCCTATGAGGGGGTAGGGTTACCATGTCCTAGTTTTGTCATAAACTAGGGTTTCACTACTTCAATCAAGCAGTTTCGAAAATCCCTGCACATAGGTAAGCATCCTGTCCTAGTTTGGAATAGTCACTATGGCTTACTATATGTAGCTAGGCCAAATGGTCAAAAAGGGTACCCCAACAAGACTACCTAACATACCTCTCACATCTAACGTCGAGAAGCGAAAGGAGGATCAAGCGGTACAGTGGTAGTCGAGATCCAAGGGTTGTGTTTCCAACATGGCAGAGCCATGACCGGTCACCCTTTTAGCAAGCTTTTGGGCAAGCCTCTGGCAAACCGTCCAGGAATAGCAGATGGAAAACACAATGACTTAAGAGTACCGATGCAAATGCAATGCAAAGAACATATATATGTAAATAAAATGTTCACATCCTGAAGTTCAACTCAAGTTCTCTAATTTCCCTAATAGAGTCACCAGAAACTGTAGCTTGCTTTTCGTGCTTCTTTCGGATACGATAGCCCTACAGTTCGGGCTCCCGTGGTTCTGAATCTGATTTCACTAGTGCAATGTGAAATAGATAAACCCAAATGAGTCCAAATCCAATAAATCTTTTGAAAAATCGATTTTGAATAAAAAAAATGCCAAAAATGGATTGCTTTGCTAGATTACAGAGTCGCCACCTAAATATTTTTGAAAAATTTAGGAAACCCGTGATTCGTGCCAAAGGCCACTTATCCTTCATCACCAAAGTGTCTCGGCTCGGGAACTTAAGTATAAGAGGGGAAGGTCATGAATTGAGCACCCCACTCACCAGATCAAAGATCGGCCTCTACTAATCATGATGTGATTTTTATTTACATTATATGTTCTTGTTCCGATTTATTAGGCTATCTTACTATGTGACGCACACAAGTATAGACTAAGTTGAAAAAATTAGTACATTTGAATTTGTGTTTGTTTGAAAATTATTTTGAATATGTACCACTTGAAAAGTGAGCTCATATGTACATTCATCAAATATCCCAATTTAAGTAATTAGCCTTCATCCACAGGTATTCAAAACAGGTATATCACTTAAGCACTTAGTCTCATGGAAAATATGCTTGATATGGCAACAATCGCACGCATGCGGTATGCTAAAGCAATAAGTGCTCACCTTGCACTCCAAGGCAAGCCAAAAAAAAAGTTAGAAAAAATGCATGATCCTAACTAATGCAATATGACTAATACAACACAAACAATTATGACTAATGGGCTTGGCTACTAACATGGTATCTGAAGCAATTTGATAGCATGCGGTCCAAGCATGTATGCAAAGAGTTAAGCAATAACAATGCTTTGTTAGAATGATGAACCGAGCTTTGATGCATGTAAGACATGTGGATGCAAAGCATGGAAAATGTTAAGAAAACATGGCACTCTATACTACCATCATAAGTGGAGAAATAAAAGGAAGAAAGAAATGGGGGTTGAAAGACACACACTTATTACATATTTGCCCTCATGCAAGAGGGTCCAAATAATTGTCCAAATGTCCGAATTTAAACTAACTATTACAAAACCAAATGAAGGGATTAAGCTAATGGATACTACATAACTAACTAGTTATCTAATTTATTACAACAAGGATGAACAATAAAACTAACTATCTAAGTTAACTAACTATGACAATTACAAATAAACATTAATAATAATTACAATAATGCTAATTATAATGATAATTAATTAATTACAACAGTACTATAATAATGGGAAGATTAATTTACAACATTGATATAAACAAAGATGCACAAGGATTGCATGCACGTGACTGTTTTCAGAAGCAGCTCTATCTGCCTTCTTGAGAATCTGTCCTATTTCACCTTCAGCCACTGCCCTCTATTTCTATAAAAACGCACTGTTTACCAAACATTGGAGCCCGCCTAGCCCCCAATGAGGCTCGGTCGGGCCCAAACAAGGCCAACCGTGACCTGATTTTGTGGAAAAGTCTACTTCTATGCTCTAAGGTGAAAACAATGCAGACAGAACTTTTCTAATCTGTGTTTGTCCTTTCGGCTCTTCTCTATCAGGGAGCCTCAAGAGAAGAGCAGATTCAAATCTAAAACCATCTATGAGCACAAGTTGATGGCTTGATGATTTCGAACGCGATTTGGACAAGAAATTGATAAATGCAATGGATGATGACCACCCTTCCCTCTTCTTATGAATTTAGCTCAAAAAGGGTGGTAGATACGCTTCAAGGTTCGTCAAAACATCATGAATTGGTGCGTGACGACTCTTGACACTATGAACTTGGCATAACTTCCAGCCAAATCCAAGCAATCTTAAGCATTTTCTCTATGTCGATTTTATTGGTTTTAAGCCCATTTTATTAGTCCTTTCCATTCTTTAATCAATTTGTCCCAAAGTGATAGTTAAGTCCACTACATAAGAAGAAATGTCAAACGAGAAGTGATCTGAAGCATGAAAGAGGGACTACACCTTGACGATGAACCTCTGTAGAGGTTAAGCCATTGAGCACGGGTCTATTTCCCATGCCTTGAATAACCATCAATCCTTTTGAAATAACTCTCAAACAAAAGGAAAGAAGAAAAAAGGAAGGTTGCAGACATGATTGTGCGAGATTGATTTTAAGAATAAGACTCTTAATATGAAAACCAAGCAAAGAAAAGCTATAAACTCAAGCGGCTTAATGTTTAAGGCTTAAACAAGCAAAGCTATGAGGACTTACAACGTAATAGGCAAAGTATTCAAAGCAGAAAGTAGTTAAATGAATTAAAACAAGTCTAAACAGCCCCAAATATGTAAAAACTAGTGACTAAAATGATGTTTAAAGAGTATGAAGAAGATAGGAAACAGCAAGGAATCACAAAGCTAGTGAACAAGAGAAATGAGAGGTGGCTAGCCCCTCCATTTTTGAGACCTCAAACCATGTTTTTTAGCCTTTTTTGAACTCTAAAAATCAGTTTGAAGACTAAACAAAAGAGTGCAAAAACAAGGGTGTGAGCCATGGAATAAGGTGCAAGAAAGGGTGTTAAACCTTTCTACCTTTGGTAGCTATTCAAACCTAAGTTTCAACACTCAAAATGGACCTAAAACAATACAAAGACACAAGAAATTGATAGTAAGAAACAAAAATGAAAGCAAGAGAAAAGGTGGCGAGCTTATACTCTTAAAGAGGACAAGCTCTTGTTGTGAATCAAACTTGGTCAAAGCACACTCTCAAGCCTGAATTATAATTCTGAAGACTCAACCAAGGCTCCAAGGTTAAGGTTTTAGGGTTTGTATGGCATATAGATATAGTGTAAAGATGGTAAGCTTGCTTAAAGATGGCTTGGCAAGGAAAAATGAGCTCTCAAGTGTGTGTATAAGCTCTTTGGAAATTGTTCAACCCTCAAAATAGAGATATAACCTCATATTTATATAATTTGAGCTAAATAGGTCAAAAATATCTTTAAAAATAGACAGTTGGCGGGTTCCTGCCCAGAACAGTGTTTCTCGCTAACAAGGCACGGCCGGTCGGCCCCGATGAGGCATAATCGGGCCCTAATGTGCTCCACTGTTCCTCTACTTCAAGCTTAGTGTAGAATGGCACAATGTTAACAAATAGACCTCTGAGATAAGAACAAG